CCCCCCGTAACCCTAGGGGCTTCCTGAGCTGCAGCTGATGCCCAGGGGGGTGGCCTCAGGCCCCGGCTCTCACCGCTTCCCCTGGTGCGGCTGCGGGTGCCCGGGGAGCTGATGGGAGCTGGGAAAAACCGTGTCCTCCTGGCCGGGCGGCAGGATGCCAGCGTTTCCCTCGGGTAGGACCGGTTGTGGCACGGGGGGTCCTGGCAGCACCTGGAGGGTGAGCAGAGCAGTCAGGCTGCTGTGCCACGCTGTGCCACCCTGCTCCGAAGAGACCCCCGGGGCCATACCTGGGACACGATGGCATCGGCCGGTCCAGGGCAGCAGTGAGGGCACCCCGGGCAGCTGGGGCGGCCAGAGGTGGGAGGCAGCTTCTGGAAGAGGGGATAGCAGCGGGTGGGTGGTTGGTGCATCCTCACCCTGCCGCAGGCACAACCTTGCACGAGGACGCCTGTGGAGCCTGGGGACCCCCCACGCTCACCGGCAGCCGGGGGCCGGAGGCGGGTGTCGTGTCAGGCTGCCGGAGCCTCGCAGGGTGGCCAGGGGGGACACGGGGGGTGCGGGCACTCTGGAGCGGGGGCTGGCTGTCACAGGAGCTGCGGGTGGTTCTGCAGGATGGGCCAGCTGGGATGTCACCGCTGGGGTCTGGGGACAGCCGGGGCTGCCTGGGGAGCAGCGAGGGAGCAGGGCAGGGCACTGGCAGCCTCCGAGGAACCTCCGAGCCCTGCCCGGCCCCAGGGAGTCCCTAGGAGAGGCTGGCTGACACAGGGTGCTGCCCGGCCGGGGGCTCTGGCTGCCGCACCGGTCCCTTGAGCCCCTGCTTATGGGTCCTGTGCATGCCCCCCCCATACCTCAGCTGCTCGTTCTCCACCACAAAGTCCCGCAGGAGGCCGTAGAGGCTGGGCCAGGCTGGGGCTCCCTCCTGCCCTTCGAGAGGGGAGCGATGCAGCCCTGCGGGCCCGTACCTGCCTCCCCAGCCTGGCCGTGCCCCCGTCCTTGTGGGTGTCCCAGGGACCTCCATGCTCCTTGTCGGCACCCTCGGCAGGCACAGCTGCTGGCGCAGGGAGAGGTTTTCCAGCTGCAGGGCATGGATTTCTTCCTCCAAGGTTTGCAGCAGCTTCTCCCGGGACACCTGGGAGCGCAAGGGGGGTGGTTCAGGGGGGTCCCAGCAGTGGGGCAAAGCACCCTACCCGCAGCCCCTGCCTGCTATACCCTGTTGGCCAGGGGCCTGGTGGTGACCCTCCGGGCACGGCTGGCGTAGTGCAGTGTGCTCAGCGTCTCCGAGAGGCAGCGTGAGGATGGGGAGATGCAGGCGACCTGCCGACGAGGAAGAGCTGCAGGTGAGCTGCCAGCCAGAGGGTCACCCGTTCCCCTCCACGGGGCAAGACCCTGGGCCCCTGCCGCTTTGTGCACCGCTGCCCAGCCTCCTCCATGCGCGTACCATCAGGGTGATGCCTGAGCCGCCCAGGGAGCGGGCCAGCAGCCGAGTGAGCTTGCTGTCCCGGTAAGGGATGTGCATCCGCTTCCCTCGGGGTTTGGCCAACAGAGAGATGCAGTGTCCTGTCAGAGAATGAGCCACAGAGGGTGCAACAGGGTTCTGATGGGGACCAGCAGCTTGTGCTCCCATGGGGGGGTCCTCCGACTCTTACCCAGTGCCAGGAGGCTGCGGTTGATGTTGTTGGCCTCCACGGAGAGCTCCCCAGTGGAACCGGTCTCCTTCACCCGCTCGCTGCCAGCCAGGTCCACGAAGCACAGTGTGCCCTGCTTGCTGGGGCAGGCGCTGGGCTGGGGGACCAGTATTGGGGGAGTGATGCTCTGGCCCCCCTCATACCTTCCCTGTGGCCCACCGCAGTGTCCCAACCCCTCCGTCTGGGATCTGGCTCCCTGCTGCTTACCCCACCAATGCATTCTTGGGGAGGAGGATGTGATCCCCCCACCCTGGGGCTGTCTGCACCCCCAAGAAGAGCCCCGGTGTCCATCCCCCCCAAGCCCTCCCCCCTGTGCCCAGTGTAGGACACACGCTCACAGCCCGGCTGCGGATGTGGATGGTCAGAAGAGCGTGGCTGCGGCTCGAGTGCCTGTTGAGGGCATGTGCCGAGGTCCGTCGTCTCTGGGATCCTGCCAAGGGAGGATCGAGAACTGCAGGAGGGCACGACGGCCCATGCCTTGGCACAGCACCCACTGCCCACCCCCTGCCAGACACGAGCCTGCCTGGGCTCTGCGGCAGGATGGGGAGCTGCCCCTCTTGGCTGCCATCGGAGCCCCACACCAGGTCCGGCACCCCCCAAACATGCCCCTCCGTGGCCCCAGCCCCGCACCCGTGGCTCAGCACCTTGCAGGAGCAGGTCAGCGATGGCCTCCAGGCTGTCAAAGTCCACGCTGAGCTGGTTCTCCACGTAGAAGCCGCAGGTTTTGCTCCACCGCAGAGGCAGGGCACATGGTGGCCCAGGGCTCAGCAGGTCCCGGACCTGGGGGTACAGCGGAGGGGAGGCACTGGGGAGAGGGGGCACGGGATGCCAGCAGGGTCCGGCTGCACGGCCAGGCAGGCACTTACCTGCTCGTTGTAGATCTCCAGGTAGGAGGCACTGAGAGCCAGATCAGAGCCACGGCTTCGGCTCTGCTCCAGAAGGCAGGCGAAGGACCTCTGCATCAGCCCCAGCAGCCCCGGGGCCGCTGGCCGGCTCTCGCTCTGTAGAGATGCAGGGAGGATGAGCAGTCACGCTGCTTTGGCACCCACCTCCTCCCACCGCCCCAGCACCCATGACCAGGTGAGAAGAACCTGTCCCACCATCAGGATCAGGTCAGGCAGTGGGGATGGCTTTGTACCTGGGTGAGGGGCCCCATCAGGGTGTAGGTCTTTCCCGAGCCAGTCTGCCCAAAGGCAAAGACAGTGCAGGAGAAGCTGGGGAAGATGCTGAGCCTCAGGCATGGCCCCAGGTGGTGACACAGGGATGCCACCTCCCGGCACGGCCCCGGCAATGCAGACCTGCCAGTAAGGCCTGGACTGGTGCAGCGCAGCGGGCACGGGGTGAGCCAGGGGGCTGGGGTGCATGGGGGGTCTTGCCGGGACTCACCCGTCTATCGCCAGCTCCACCAGCTGCCTCATCCCGCTGCCTTCGAACACGGCCTCCTGCGAGGCTCCTGCGTCGAACACGGCGCTGAACCCGAAGGTGACATCGTGCCTGGCTGCGCTCACCTGGGCACAGGGATGACGGTGGCTCAGGGGGTGCCGCAGCCCCCCCCTCCCCCCCGACCCCTCCAGTGGGGAGGTGGCACTTACGTGGACGGTGCCATCACCGAGGCTGTGCACAACCCGCCGGTCTCCTCGCCGCGTCTCTGTGCAGGTAAGCGGCCGGACCCTAATGGCAGAGGGGAGTGGATGGGGGCACAAAGGTATTGCTGCAAGGGGACCCCCCGGGGAGCCCTGCTATGCCCCTGCCCTGGGCAGGAGGGTCCCCAGCGCGTCCCCGAGCCCTTTGCGTCCCCTCCCTTACCTCAGCACCACTCTCAGGCGTGTATCTCTGCCCACCACAGGGCCCGCTTGCTTCTCTCCGGGGCTCCTTTGGGGAACAGAGGGCAGTGGGGTGGTGGGTGCCCCCCAGCTGGGGCACCTGCCCACGGGCACCCCAAGGGCTGGGTAGAGGGGCCCATGGTCGCACTGTGCCCGTGCCATCCTCCACTCCCCGCTGTGCCCTGGGGCCTGGCAGGGAACAGAGCGCAACTTCCCCCCATGTCCCCGCAGAGGGACCGTCCTGTTCCCCCCCCCCAGCCTTTCTGGGGTGCCAGCCCCCCGCCGGCTGTATCGGCCGGGCGGTCGCTGCCGAGGCCCTGCCTGCCACAGTCCTGCGGTGGCCTCCATCCCCTCCGGCTCCCTGCGGACTTACGGTCTCTCCTGGCCCCATGGGAGCGTTTTAGGCCGTGTGCCCGACTGGGGTTCCCACTCCTGCTCTCCCTCCGGCTCCATTCACCCCCCCTCCCCAGCACCCCTCGCTCAGGGTGCCCGCAGCACCCGGCCGGTCCTGGCGGGAGCCACCGCCAGCCAGCCTGGGCTGCCCCGCACAACAGGTACCACCGCTCCGGTTAAACATTGACCGGTGCCAGCCCCGTGGGAGAGCGGCCACGGCACGGTGGGGGACGAGGCG